TATGCCGTTCGCAATTCTGAGATCATTCTCAGTAATGCTAAATCTTTCCGTATCGATATGCATCTCTATACGAGAATTAAACTTCAAACCAAAACGCAGAGTAATAAAAAAAAAATCTTTTGTGATAATATCTGTTTTAAATATCTACCGCACGGATTGACGTCATCGATATTTAGTATTTTATGGATGAAATCATATGATTTTTCACGTATTATGTACGCGTGTGTATCCGTCTATTGTAATATTATTATACTTTGCGTTAACGGCAACGGACGTCTGTTTGAAGAGATAAGAGCTGTATGCGTGTGCGGTCGACCGATAATTTCGGTCTGACGTTACTGTCTATTTCTCCTACTACTAAGAGCCAGCGAAGGCATTTAACTTAGTTTCTCTTCGATATTTATTTCGTCATCGCCGCATCGATACATCCGACCTCGAAGCGAAATGACTCACGCAATAAGAAAAATCGAAAAACTTATTATTTCGTTTCTTCCCGCATTTTAATATATCGTTATAATATATAAGTATCCGTATATATAATGTATATAGTATCGGAAAAAATATATTTAAAAATAAAATTACTTTCCATTTAGATAAGTCTGTAAAATATGTAAAATTTTTGAAGTTCGTTTTTGTTCTATTTAATTTATTGCCCCAAGTTTTTATATTTGTAAATATCTATAATTAAAATATCAGAAAAATGTTAATGCTTCAACATTACACTTACGATATTATTATATTAACGCATCAAAAAACAAAATTTTGTAAAATAATAGATCATTAAAACAAATTTCAGAAACTAAAATTGTATAATAATAATAATAATAAAACATTAACATCCGGTAAAATTTCAAAATTAAACGTTCTCATATTAATTGCTACTTATGTCAAAAGTAGGCTACGAAAATTTATGCGTACGTTTCGACGTTTCTCTCGATGCGTCGACAAAGGAAATCACTGCATGCAGAAAAATGTGAAACGCGTCTCGCGTTTCTGCACGTTTTGTCGGCATAAAATGCAACTGGTTCGCACGAATGCGTTCCACGTCGGCGCGGCGTTTTTGAGGATATCGCACGTATGAACGAGCCTTAAGAGTCCTCGTCCTAAGCCTAAGTGAGACGGAGAAAGTGACGGAGGGAAAGAGAGAGACGGAGAAAAAAGAACAGATGCATTCCAACATGGGAAGGTGGGATGGATCCGTCTCTGATAACCCGCCCATTGGAATGCGTACCTCGTACACCTTGGTGTATTCTCCCTCTCAGTTTCACTACACACGAGTGCATCTACCTGTACACACACATACACACCCTGCGCATATTCGGCAGCTATTTTTAGAGCAAATCTAACAGGCGGACATGTGGTGGTGTTTCGGACGCAATAACTGACATCCGGGAACTTATTCGTCGCGTAAATCGCGAGATCGGATGTGTGACATTAATTATGATTAAAATTGCAAATTTTTGCGATTTTTCGATATCATGCAAAACAGGCGCAGAACGTGAAAATCTATGACGAATCAATCTATTGCATTTAATTATCTGTATCCATTGTAAGATAAGGGAAAGTAAAAATAAAGATAAATTGCAATTTAAACTTCTTTCAAAGACTAAGTATGAGTTAAGAAGAAAATAACAACAATCATATTCTAAAGCCAATCAAGTGAATCATAAATCAAATTCAAGATCTACTTGCGGAACGATTTCTTTTAATTTCCTTTAATTCGTTAATTTTAAAAATAAAAAAAGAGAGGAGGGGTGAGTAATTTCTCGATTTTTGACGATCTACGCTTCGCGGAAACGATCGTCGCACCTCCGTAGACATTCCTGCCGCGCGTTCATTCATCGGCTCTCGCACTGACGCCGCAATTACCCGCTGAATGAAAACGATCGCGGCCGCGGAAACGTGTCGCGTGCATCGGGACGAGCTTTTGATGCACCTTGATGCATTCTACCTCTCGGCCGCCGCTGCGACTCGATTGCGAACGTAACACGTTCGGGGGAGACTATTTTTAGACCGGTCCAAGATTATTTTTAGAAGCGGCCTGCCCACCGGTAGCTTAACCCTGACTTACGTCCCCATGTCGTCGTGGACACCGCAGGGACACCGCGAAGATCGGTGGACCATTAGGCGCATCAGCCGAAAGACGTACAGTCGCCAGGAAATGAGCAACGCGCGAAACGCGCGGCTTACTTTCTGGCTCCGCTTATCTGAATTTTTGACATTCAATTCCCCGCCGCTGAAGCGTGCTCGTTTGTTACCACGGCTGTTACGAATTACGACTCATAATGATTATTATTCATTAATGATAATACATACCAAAAGATAAGACTAATTTTTTATTATTCACGGATTCGTAATGACGTAAAACTATACTTTGTTAAATCATACATCGCCTTACTTCAATTAAACACACGTCAAACAAGGAACAATAATGTTTCGAAGGTGCACGTATACAATACATGCGCAGAATATCGTGCTCGTAAAGATCTAACCGCGAAGATCGTTCCAAACAGTCGTGTGCTTTAGACTGTCGGAGTTTATCGGAATCGAAGACGCGGCTGAACAGTAAAACTAGGTATTACGATCACACAGGGCGATGACGCAAGCTTGCGAGCTTCTATTTGCGGCAACTATATACGCGTAGATCAAACTGTTCTCTCAAGCTCATGTTTTGAGCTCGTATGTCGTTTCTACGCGAGAATGTGTAAAAAAGAGTGAAAATCGTAAGATTAAATGGTGAATTGTAAGATAAAGAGAATCTTATCTCAACGAGATCTCGGAGAAATTTTAACCTTAATGAGAAGAATTAACGAAAATCCGGGAAAGTAACAGATGAGATTTTCAACCGTACAGCATGTATGTATATAGAAGCCCATATATCCTCGAAAGTGGCATTTTTACGGTTATAGGCCCTTCCACTTCCTTCCACATTCGACAGAGAGACTTAGTTCTCACTAAGTGAGAACGCGTATAAAAACTTTCTTAATAACTTTCGAAACTCACGCGGCGAAGATTAAAGCACTTTCTGTGCGCGATATTAGGACACGACGGAGGTCTAAGTAAAAATAATGAAGATGTTCATACATTCAGTCCACATAGAATGCTTTAATATTGTCTATTTGCAAGGCACAACATTGTTTTAACCAATGCTATACCAATTAATCCTTTTTCTTCTCTCTCTTATAATTAAAAAAAATGTAATTATAAGAATTATACATGTATGTATTCTTGATCTTGATCTTTAAAGAAGCATATGCTGCATAATGCCTCTGATTACATAAGGGCACTTTTGCGGTCACGGTTCATTAAATTGTTCGCTAAAGTAGACTTTGGAAATACCGATACACGATTCGCGAATAAGCAATAGTGACAATTCGCTGACGTAACTACCCTCGTTCGTGAAAACGGTCATCACATTTACGATTTATAGAATGCAATATATATATCGTGTCATATTTCCAACTGCCTACGAAGCGACCCACTTTTCGAGCACAAGACGAACGAAATAAGATCTATTTCGTTCGGATATTTTACGGGAAAACGGCTGCTCCTGTCGCGCGACTCGCAATAAAAATAACGGCGATGTATTATGAGACATATATTTATAGAGAGGGATCTCGTGGCTACCCTCGTGCGATCGTCTACAATCGTCGGGTCGAAACCCATTAATTATTTCCGATGCTCCGCCAGAATATCGAAGAATTACGGCCGACTCGATAACGAACGCCGCTCGCGTGCGTCTTCTCTCTCATTGCTCGGTTATTGTATCGGTCGCACGTCATGCTATGACGGAATAATGCGTCTACCTCGTCCGGCGATTAGGTCTTTAAAATTAATTTGTTACGTTGAAAACGTGATTCCATGAAATCACGTTTTCAACGTGAACGATTTGTACAAAGTAGAAAGTAAATATAATGATGCACTTTGATCCTTTGTGCAAGATTAAATTTGCACGGAAAGAACGATTTTGCTGGAAGATAAAAAAAATCTGAAAATAATTTTTGTTAGAGCACCATCAAAATAATTTTGTTGGAAAGTCAAACTGATTGTTAGAATATCAAAACAGCATTTTTACAATGCTTATTATTTTGCAATGCTTATTATTTTTGAGTTTCCAACAAAATATTTTGATGGTGCTCTAACAAAAATTATTTTCAGATTTTTTTATCTTCCAGCAAAATCATTCTTTCCGTGCGGTTATAAAATATATATTACAATTAAATTCAATTATAAAATATATATATATATTTCATCTTTTTATATATAGTAAACAATTTAAAATTTGCATTATTTATTTCCAACTTTCTACACGTCAAAATTATATCACTTGCACAAAGTATCCGATGAACTGATTAAATAAAATCCGGATTAGGTAATGTTTCATATTTTTACATTGATATAATCAATTAATTTACATAAATTCCTCGCTAGTTTTTTTATTCACGATTATATTAGATGGCACAGAAGGTCTTTGTTAATTTTGCCTTCATCATCGAGTAGAGTTCGTAATTAGCACGCTCGATAAGAACGCCGACGAAAGATCCCTCACAAAAAGGACCGCTTGATTTTTTTCAATTTGGGTACTTCTGTTTTCCCTCAACGTTCTTCACCCCGTCTCCTTTTTGTCAACCGTCTCCCCGCCCCCTGACGACGACACCGTCTCTAATGTGAATGGATGCACAGTGTCCGACATTCGAGGCGTAATGACGCGCGTGCACTTAAATATAGTGGCTCTGGAGTCTGGACTCTGGAGAGGAGAGGAGAGGAGAGGCTCTGACTCGGCGACGCGTCTCGTAAAAATAGATCGGAGATTCGAGACGAGAGTTTCAAAAGTTGCAGCTGATCAAGCCGTTCACTTACTATAATCTTCAAATTAACGTTATACACTTGGCTAATATATGTATATAAATGATGAGCTGTATCATTTATCAGGAACGATGATAATTTGTTGATCCAGTTTTTTCTCGGCATAAGTATGAGTCATTCTGCTTTGATTTCAGGTTAACAGCGGTTCTCCGGCGGAAGCTGCCGGTCTTAAGGCTGGCGATGCGGTTATCAGAGTCAACACCGCCGACATGTATAATTTGAGGCACAAGGACGCGCAGGATGTCATAGTCAAGGCCGGAAATAATTTCGAAATAACTGTCCAAAGGTGAGATGCTAAGCATAATAAAACTCGACGAACGAATGATCCAGTTTATTTAAAGGTATCACGTTTCAACGATCTCGGAACTTATACGTCAAGCGTCAATGTCTTTAATCGACCTTACGTTAATCAGTCGTCAGTAAAAATATCGCGTCACTCTAAAATTCATTACTATCAAATTTAAGATTCTAGAAAATACAAAGAAACGAATCTCTACATAAAATTTCCGCTTTGGAAAAAATTATTTAATTTTCGCGTCCTGAACAAATCGTTATGATTTTATTTAAAAACCTGCAATTGTTGTACAATTCGAAGCCTACCGCCGGCTTTTAACGGGCGATAAATTATCATTACAGAGGCGGCGGTACTTGGAAACCGCATGTGACGCCCGTAACCACGAGCCTGCCGCCTCCGATGCACACCGCATCCGCGGGTAATATCGCGCCAGTCACAAAGACCTCTTTGGCAGCGAAAAAACAGGACGGACCCCTCATCGGCAGCGGACACAACTTCAGCCCCAAGCCATTCGTTAGTATTGACCGTTAATCCCGCGTCTCTCCGTTGCACCGATTCCGATGCAACAAAAACGCGAAGGGCAGTTAGTTATTTATTTATTTTTCTACAACGAAACGTAATAATTTTCAGCTGAACGGCACCGGCGACGGTCCAATTAAGTCCATCGTGAACAAACAGTACAACAGCCCCGTGGGGATCTACAGCGAGGAGACAATCGCGGAGACACTGTCTGCTCAAGCGGAGGTCCTTGCCGGAGGTGTCCTTGGGTAAAATCGCAAAACCGGATATAGAGGAGAACGGAATAATCAATGACGGGATTAAAATATCTGCTTCTTAAAATTATTTTTAGATCGAAATTACAAGATTGAGATTGTAACAAATTCATAATCATCGTCAAAAACTGTTTTTGCGAACATTAATTAAATAATACTGAAAGAGTTCACGAAGGCGGAAATTTTACGGTATTAGAAATCGTCTTACTGATAAATTAGCTGATAACCTAATCCCGTCAATAAATGTTATCGAGCCAGTTAATTTCGCCAGTTATCTTTATGAGCGTGAAAAAGATTTGTTTATAAATGCGAATATTGCAGGGTTAATTTCAAAAAGAATGAAAAGAACTACAACGCTGAGAATAGCGAGGTTTTCAAAATGGTCCAAGAAGCGGACAAGGAGCCAAAGACCCCAGAACCTGGTTAGTAACACACATTCTACATTAATAATATTCTGAAGAAATTGAACGTTAAAACTTTACTATTATACTAATATATATAATTATTTCTACCATACATGTGTAATACATACACGAAAATTATATCGGAGATCGTTGAAGAACGTATATTGAAATTCAAGCTCGTTCGCGTATCTTTAAAATATCAATTGTTAAAATCATTAATCTACGATGTAACTTAGCAACTTCTTCTATTCTTCGAAATATTCATAACTTCAAAATTTTGCAATATAAAATTTTTGTGAGATTTTTACAAGTCAAATAATTTGTTAATTATCTCGTCATATATTAATGCAACTGCAAGCACTTGATTTGCAATGTATTCAACATATATCAGATATTCTGCAAATTTACAAAAAAATAATAAAAAAAATCTACTTACAGATTATTTTATCTGAAATTTATACAATTTTATCTATCTGAAAAATTAATGCGTTCTTCGGCGATTGACCGGCTGGGCCAGAATCGGTTCCAGTCAACCTGTTGCATGCCGATACGATAACTTGTTTGCGAAATAGCGGAACCAAGTGTCGTGAGCGGCGTGATAACGCCATCCTCGCCCGCCCTGACAGGACTGAGGCCCGTCCAGGCGCCGGAAACGAAGCCGCAATCGCCGTCGACGCCACAAACGAGCCTACCACCAGGACAGAACATTTGTGCCGAATGCGAAAGGCTCATCGTGTAAGTTTACGTGACTCGGGACGCGTTTTGGCGCGTCTCTTTTATTTTCAGAGGCTAAACAGCGGCGAGAGGAGGTAGTGTCGACAATCACGATTGCATTCCACGACCACTTTCCACTTGCGTACAGGACATGTGAATGTCGTGCGGATTTCCAGTTCTCAGATTAGAACTTTATGATTATTACGCAGATTTATATTGATTTATTTAATATCTATATTGATTTCATTCTTGAATTTTTAATTACATATTAGATAAAATCCATGGAAATCTCTTTTGGATCAGTAATCGCGTTTTAATCTGAGAATGCAGGAACTCGCATGAATTGGCGAACGCGATCGCCAAGGGGCTTCGTCGAGCAGTCCGATTCGATCCGACACTTTCCCGATGCTGCCCGGTTGTCATGGCGCTTTTTCTCTACTTCCATGTCGTAGTTCCTTCAAGGACAGAGTTTTACTCCTCGGTGAGCCACGCTGTTGGCGGGAGGGCCACTTCACCGAGGTCACCTACGCCTCTGTTTCATGCAATGGGCGGTGGTGGTAGCGCACCTGCCGATAGCAGGCACTTTATATGGATGGACGAATCGTACGGAAGGAATCGAGAACCACAACCGCAAAAGCAGGAATCGTCCGCCGGGTCGGGCTCGTCGACGCCGGGCGGGGTCGTTTGTAGCAACTGCGACCGAGTGATCGTGTAACTATTTACGAGCAAAGAGTCTTGCCACCCTTGTGCACGAGACGGCCACGGCGGGTTTCGTTTTGGCGTTTTCGAGGTGTTTCGCATTCGCGTACCGAGGGCGACACGATGCAACAAAATTTTTAGAAATTATTAACCGTATATAGTTATACAAATTTCTATAGTCTATCAATTGCAATGGATATTTAAAGAGTATTTGTTGAAAGCAGCTTCTTTCTTTTTGATTATAAAGCTAAGTTTGTATTAATTAATAAATCTACAAAAATTATTTATTATTAATAAAGTTATTTTGATGAATTCAATTTTAATAAAAATATTATGTTGATAAAAATTTTCGGGATTTTTTTTGATTAGCATATTTTAATTAGTATATTTCAAATATAAGTAATGTGTGCAATATAGTAAAAAATAATTTACAATTTAATGAGTATGATTCATATATAATCTTGTCGTTCTCAATCTTGTCGCGATTCACGCACCTCATATGATCGTCAAATACGACGCCATTCTGAGTTGCTCGATTGTCGTATGCTAATATCATCTTGAAGATCCCGATTCGAAGAGAACATGTGCACGTTTCTTTCTTATACTGTATTTAAATTATATAAAATTGTATATAAAAACGTTATCGGATAACAATAACGTAAACCCGTTAATAAACGGGGATAGAAAAATTATGCTATAAATAAATGGCACAAGTTTGCTTAACAATTGTATGATTTGTATAGAAATTAATTTACGCGATAAGAGAAGTGCACATTTGTCTCCTTGATGAGTTCGAAGCACGCCTTTCTCTGCCGCCACTTTTCGTCAATATCGCTTCGTCAGAAAAAGCGAAACACTTTCATCGTTGTGCATTTTTCTTATCACTGTTATCTCTTGACGAATTTTGATCATACGTGATCATTCGAGCTTATAGCTTACAACCTACTGGAAGTCGTATCTCTGCGAGACGAAAGTTTCTCATTCGCTCGCACAGCTTGAACGCAGCCCTATCTAAATGTCTCTTTACTCTTTGCACTCTTAATAGCACCTTTCGCGCATTTACAGCACACTGAATAACTGATAGTTAACGTATAAAAAAAAAACTGCTTTCGATGTTGTGAACATTTTTGTGGATTTTTATTTTTGTCGTATTTTTTGTAAACAAAATCTTTTTGCGATACTTTTTATATCTCTTTTTTTTCTCCGCTCGACGAACGGTGGAAAACGCAATCTTTTTTTTGCACGAAGAAATTTACAGATCGACAAAGAGTTAGAGAACTTCAGACCGTCTAAAGTTATACCTTGATTTTTCACATTTACACTACACTTCAAAACATTCCCACATATTATGATCTACCTAGTATTTTGAATGTCAGTTATTTTTTTATGGCGTTATGTTTTTTAAGATATCCATTCCGCTACAGAAATCAACTCTAAGCACGTTCTTTGTAGCTTTAATCGTCTCTTCGCTCTCTCATTCGAATATAATTCTCACGGAGATCATAATATAAATAATAGTTATCCCCGGCCTCCTTCGTCGAGGTATCGAGCTTCCTACGTCTCTCTCTTTTTGAACTCGAGTGAATAGCAATAAGGTTCAAAACTCGTGGCACATCCGATGCGCCATCATCTCGCCGTTTATTGTTGTTACATTAAAGAAAATCAATTACTACTACTGAGAAGCAAAGTAATCGCGTTATTAACCCGCTTATTCTCCCCTCAGAGGTGTCTTCGTCAGGATCAAGGAAAAGAACCTCCACGTGGAGTGCTTCAAGTGCTCGACCTGCGGCACGTCCCTGAAGAATGTCGGTTACTACAATATCAACAATAAATTATACTGCGACATTCACGCGAAACTCGTCGCTAGGCAAAATACTCCGGCCGGTCTTCTACCCATCACTATACCATCGTAAGTTATATATAACATGCAGTACTTGTACATGTTACACGCTTGAAAAGTTTAATATCAAATTTTAATTTAAAAAATAACGATGTAATAAATATATAAAACAGAAATAAAAATATATACAAAATAAGGATAAGTGATGTGTACAAGTAAACGAGTAAGTTGAGATGATATTGAAATGCAAATAATTGACAAGACGTATCCTTTACGATTTGACAGAGGTGGCAAAGCACCAGCTAGTACCATTAGCGCGGCATTGGCGAGTGCACCTTTATCGCCACCCCTCAGCAATCACGGATCGTCGCCTCAGCCATTCTCCGTGAGTTGCTTCATCATAATTTGATTCTCTTTATGAGGCATGGTCACGAGCGAACTTTTTCGCGCACGCATTTTCTTGCCTGTTTTGGCATGGCTTATGAAGCGAGTATTTTGCATTGAGCGTGTGGCTTTGCTGTACTCGCGCGTGATTTCACGGAGTTTCTTACGATCGCGAGATCGGGCGAAGGTCGCGGCGAAATTTCTCGCGCATTAACGATTTCTCTCTCTCGAATCACATAGAGAAAACAATGGACGTATAAAACATGGCGCTTCTCATTTAGAAAGGATCTAACTTTGATAAAAATAATTTTAGTAATTAAATAAAAAAAAGTTTGTTAAAATATTAGATATCGAATATTCGAAATTTTCTCCGTAGTGTATTTTAAATACTAATTGAAAGATAATCGCATTTGTTCCTCTTACATTTTTACAAAAAAGTTCGTTAAAATAATTAACGAGATTCTGAAATTTTTTTTCTCTATAATAAATAATAAAATACTTGATTATTACAAATTCACATTGATCGCATCCGTGTGCCGCGAAAGATCTGTTTCCGACAAGCCGGGATGCGCGCTTATCTTGAAAGTTTAACAAGTGTGGTCCTTGCTTGGCACTAATCGCTTTTCCAGGCGTGCAATCGTACGAGCCCCGATTCCGGATTCCAGCATACGTGGCGATCGACTTCGAATACAAATGGATGCATCAGGAACGGCGAGTGCAACGGCGAGTCGAAAACGTTCACGAGCACGATCACCATCCAAACAGGTGGCACAGAGGTTGGCAACGTGCTCGAAAACTCGATCTCTGCATTCGCTACTAATGTACCTTTCATCATCATTTCCTTATGTAAATGATCATCAAATAATCACCAAATCAAATTGACGTCATCGAAATTAATTATAAAGTAATATTTTGTGATGTGTTATATATCGTATGATATATCATAAAATATTGCATTACGATGTATATATATTAAATTAAATGCTAGAAACATCAATATTCTAAATTATATCGTATTATATATATTATATATATATTGTCTATTGTAATATAAAAGTTAGAGAAATGTGATATACAATATACATATATGATATGGGTATGAAATAAATATATATAATTATTTATCATATTTGATTGATACGGGGAACGAGAAACGTATTAATTTCAAAATTTTTGTTGATGATCATTACACTAACGATTATCTATACTGATTATACTGAATCAAATATTATTGCGAAACCAATTTATCAGTCTCGTTATTCCATTAAAATGTCCTTGAATCAGTCTCGACTACCTAGTTAATCATTATCTTCGCGACCGAACTCGCTATTTCGAACTCATGACTAATTAGCCTGTCGTAATCGAGAACGTTTCTGTTCGAGATGATTCGTCTTTTCTCCCTCCCATTTTCTCTCTCTCTCTCTCTCTCTCTCATTCGTTTCTACGTCTTTACGGATTACAATGACGCATTTCAAGTATCAGGGATAATTTTAACAAGCTTGTTTTATGTCTATTTTATCACCGCTAATGCCCGCATTTTAAAGTCGTAAGC